TTCTGTTTGGGCAGAAGCTTATTGTGTAGACCCAGCCTAGTAAAGGCCCAGGAAATATTTGGTCAGCTGGAGCTTTTATAACTCTTCAAATCAGTGTAAATTAATTTTCACAATTAGTAATAATTCTGAGCAATTATGCAAAATTTCATGTGAAACATTAAACATAATAAGGGATCAATAAGAAAGTTACTTTATTTTAAAGGTGCACCTATTTGTCCTTGTCTATATTGCTTCAGCATAAAACAACAACGCAGGGACTCTTCTTCTTCTTGAGCTATTGGGAGTGTGTGTGGTTAATGTGGAGTGTGGTTCATGGTTCAAAGTTTTATAGGAAACATTTCCACTTTGAAGTCTGCTACTTACCTGAAGTAGGACAGAGAGAGTGGAGATTATGCTTAAGTATGGAAAATAAAACACAATAATGAAGTAACAAAGACGCTTATCAGTGAAAGAGTGCAGAGACAAAATGCAGTAAGTTGAGAAGTGAGAAGTCTTTATTTAAAGCAGAAAGTACACACTCAGAAAATCAAAGAAAAGAAGCCTGACACTGTAGGAAGAGTTTTACAACCCCGCTGCTGCCCTTGCTGCATGCACACGATTTTTAGACACAGAACATTCAACCTCTCATAACCTCTGTTAGACATACTGAGGCAGGGCAGGGATACGTGAAAAGCATCAAGATTAATTTTTCCTGCATATAATGAAAATGCTGGGATATAAACAGTATAGTAAGAACAGGAAGTACTCCATTTTAAGGCTAAGATTCCATTTTAAAAACCAGGAAATTAGGAGGTAAGGTTCCTAACATATTCTTTGGTAATCAGCCAACAACCTATCTTAAGGCAGGGCAGGCAGCCCTAACCGCTATGTTCACAGTGCATGAGGGTAACCACTATTTTGGAAAAGAACAGGATCAGTAAATTTCTTGTGTTAATTTTATCTTACAGAATTATCTAGAGGACTGATGGTGGAGGGTGATGTAATGTATCTCAACAGAGAGAGACATCATGAGATTGCATGTCAAGCCTACACACCACCATCCTCTACCCTTTGCCCCATTCTTGAAAGCCTTAAAAGAATCCTAAGCCCTTAAGTGTGTCTGTCTCCTCTCTGAAGTTGAAGTTGCCTACACTCCCCTTTCTTTGAATGTGTACTTTCTGCTTTAAATAAAGACTTCTCACTTACCAACTTATTGCGTTTTGTCTCTGCACTCTTACAGTGGTGTCTTTGTTACTTTGCTATTTCATTTTATTTTCCATACTTTAACACAAGTGTTCACTCTCTCTGTCCTACTTCAGATAAGTAAGGAGGGGCTACTGAGAGCTCTGATTTGGGCTTGCAAGTTCCTGTTGCCTGGGTGACCCAGACAGGACTAGAGCTGTCTGATCATGTTCTTTAGTAGCCTTTCTTGTCTTTGGGAAGTTCTCAGAACATAATCTCACTCCATTCAGTGTTCTGTGGCTCCCCCAAATCCTGGGGTCATAGGGGCTTAGTGTTCATGCTGTGCAGATTCAAGCAGACACTTGATGCCAGGTGACCCTGGTTTTAGGAGTTGGCAAGGGACTTTCCCAATGCTGAACAGGAGGAGTTCAATAAGCTTCCCTTTCTTCCCTCTGTTCTTCTTGCTCTCTGCTGCCTAAACAGCTGCTGCTATTCACTGCTATTCTCACTTTAATTCATTCCTTCTTTACCTACATTTGCTGACCTGTTCAATGATTTTTTTCTAGTTCAGAGTCAAGAATGCTCCCCCACCCAGGTTGAGGTTTCACCTACTGTGCAAGGAGTGACCCTCCCCAGAAGTAGCTGTCCAACAATACCGTATGTGGTTGAATCATACTTACACTTTGTTCCATAACCATAATGAAGACTTTCAAGCTTTCTACAATTTGATTCTGAAAGTTACAATCCAGTCAGCAACATGTATATTATAATGAGTGTGGAATATTTTTCATGCAACCCTAAGTATGAGCTAGGATTACATTTCTTTCCCATAGCTCCTATGTTCCCATCCCTAATGCCACTCAATAAAAGTGTGCAATGGCTTCTCATACTTACTTTCAAAATGACTCCCCATTTTAATTTCCCTGGAATCTTTGAACTGAGTTTTCCTTGCATGGCTGGCTTGTCTCCCTTCCTTCCTTCTCTTCTTCCATCCCTCCCTCCTTCTATCCCTTCTTTCCTTCCTTTTTATTAGGATGCCTATTGCCTTTTTTTAACTTCCTAGGAAAAGAAACACTCCTCATCACAGCATTACAGATTGCAGAGTTACACCTATGTTACCTTGCACTTAGAAATGATTCCATTTTTTGTTTGTTTTTGTCCTCTGCTGCCTGTTGTTTTAAACTGGCAGCTAGTTGGTTTTGCTCTCTCTGGAGTGTCTCCTCGCCTTTATATTTTCTTGAAATCTCTTTATTTAAACCTCAGGCTCTTCAAATGTCTCATTCATTCTCTTCTTTGCTGTGGCGTCTCTGCAGATACCTTCTGTGAGCCCTCCAGCCCCCTGCTCTCACTGGGACTGGGCACTGCACATTTGATCATTTCCTCGTGCTGCTCTCCTGAGCCAGAACCACTGCTTTTTAGGTACTGAATTCAGTGAGATGCAGGGAAATGTTTAATCATAGGTTCTCTTAACAGATAAACAAAACCCTGATTTTTATCATTCCCAAAGTCCATGTTGTAAGTATTCCCATAAAGGCTGATGTCTAATTCCTAATCTGAGGTCACTGACCATGAAGTTGGTAAGATATGTGGCTCAATGTGCACCTCCAAGCCTACACCATCACACCATTGACAAAAAACAATTTGACAGATATTTCTAAAATATATTCATACTCTTTCTGAGTTAACAAAGCAACCTGGTTATCATTTAATTTCATTTAGTGGCTCTGGGTCATTATTAATGTCAAGCTCTAAGGCAAAATGTTGTGTCCTAGAGATTATGACATTTAAACGCAAGATATTTGCCCATGAAAGAATGACTAGGTAGCTAAACATGGAAATTAGATAAAATAATTAAGTAAAAAATGCAGCAGCATTTTGTTTATTTTTGAAGGGGTTTTTGTTATTTTAGTTGATTTTTTAAAATACAGTACTCAAATCTAGTTTTCATGGTTTGGATAGCCATTATTGCAAGCTCTCACCTGATCCTTGATATGATACCCTTACCTGTTTAAATTTTTTATGATCTTTTTATTTCTGCTCTTATTTAAGACCATTGTAAACCCATTTTTAAGTAAATTATCAGAGAATAAATATTAGTAATAGAGAAATATAGTGTTTTCAATAAAGGATGAAAATTTTCTGGTAAGTGGTGTTAATTTGGTTTCTCTTTCATTATGTGTGTTTTCTTTAATATCATAAAAGAGAATGCTATCCAGGCATCTTCTGGCAGAAGAGAAAATGGGTTTTTTCTCTGTTTGAAAAGTTCACTTTGAAGGTTTTTGTGATGGGTGACAGCTTTAAAATAGGGTTGCTTTTCAGAATAAATTGCCTGCAGCTGCTCTTCAGAGTTTCTTTTTTATCTGAGCACATCCACCCTGTTTGGACATTTAAAAACTGCATATTTACATCACTGATGGAACGATAAATAAAATGCTGCATTTTTAGGTGAAGGTTCCTGGGACCTAATTAGAGTCAGAAAAGCAGAGACAAGCAGGGGATTGAAAACGTGGTGCTGCTTCTTACCTTGCTTGATGATCTTGTGCTTTAGCCATTCCTGTGCATCTTCCCATTCATGAGTGCAGGGGATGGTGACAAATCACTTGATGGTCAGGAAATACCCATGAAATGAATGTGGCTCTGGTGTGGCTGTCTTTGGGCATTTGCTCATTTCTCTTCTCCTCTACAGCTTGGTGAAGATGAATTTTAACCAAGGTAAATTCAGCTTATTGGATGCAGGACATTTCTTTATGTCCAAGGAAATTAAAGCTGTACACCTGCCACATAACTAGAAAAATACCTGGGGTGCCATTTTCATTTCAAATATGTCTACTCTGGTTCCATGAGCATGGCTAATCATTGGATCATTTTATTAGAATTACTATTTTATCAAAGTAAATCTAGAAAATGGTTGAACTGTATAAGATTAGTGTCCAAATACAGCAGGTGGAATTATAAAATGTTTAGATATAGAATGTGATAAATATCATTTGTACATGATAATGACATCATTAGCACTTACTGAACTATATGAAATTCATCTGTTTCATCATGAATGATGTAAGTTTATATTTTAATACATTTATAATTATTTAAAATGTAGTTGTATATTGCAAATATAATAAATGATGACTTGTCTAAAAGTGTTATGGCCCTATACTTTCTCAGTATTCAAAAAGGATTTTACCAAAACTAAGATAAATTTTAATGTAGGTTTCTGATCTCAATAAAATATGTTTCAAAGAGAGTTTAACTGTAGTTTCACATCAGGGCCTTGAACCCATAGTAAGTTAATCATTAAGCTTCATTTTGAAAAAGTGATTAGGTATTATCACCAATGACTGTCTAATGAAACGAAAGAAACAAGCAGAAGACTTGGGAATTTATGTTTCACATAGGAAGGCAGGTCAAAGTAGGGATGTTTCTTTGTTTCCAAAAGATACCAGTTTTAGCATTGCAAGCCTGTAGTTATTATCCCAAGAGTGGTACATGAAGGCAATCATTCTACTAAAAAAAAAGATGAATTAATGTTACAGAGTATGATGTCACAAAATATCTGCCTGCATTTGCTGCTATAGAAAATGATGTAAGTAGTATATCTCTACTTCCAGTTAGATTAAAACCGATGTATATTTGCAGTCATAATACACAAAGTTATCTTAGCATATTTGCTGAGAGAAGTTGCATAAAACATAGACAAAATAGGCATCACATGGATAATGATGTCCATGAGGGAGGTGGAAATTGAATATGCAGACTTCTCTAGCTGTGAAATAAAGATTAACACAGTATGTTTGGGCTTGGCTGAGCTGCTAACGGCCTCTCTTTCTGCTTTGTTGTAGCTCTCAGCATTAGAGAGGCAGATCTTTGACTTCCTTGGCTTCCAGTGGGCACCTATTCTTGGAAATTTTCTACATATAATAGTCGTCATATTGGGTTTGTTTGGAACCATTCAGTACAGACCTCGATACATTGTGGTGGTAAGTCCTATTTTTATCATGTCTCTTTGTAGAAACACTACACATTTGATATAAGAAGCTTAATAACGTAATTTAAGTGCTGCCTCTGTTATGATGTGGCATTGCCATTCTAGCCTTCACGTACTGAATTCTGTTAAGAGGCAATTTTCTGTGGAAAAGACAGAACTCAGTGGATGTTAGGAATCATGATTGTATGTCTGAGAGGCACAGTGCGACTCACAGTGTAACTGAATTCTAGTTTCACAAGAAAATTTAAAATGGGGTTTGGATAGAGTAGGTCTGGTTATGGTTTGATGTTATGATGAAATATAATGTGCATTAACTGTCATTTCAATGGTGTATGTCACTAAACCTAAAAACCAAACTTATCTAGCCATAACTGTTTGCTAACTGATAATAATAATATAATTTAATTTTAATTATTTACAACATTACAAACGCATGTACTAAAGGGCATTTGATACCCTCCGCTAATGTACTTCACACTGGATATCACTGAACATTTCTCCATTTTTTAAAGATAAATTTTAAGAATAAATCCATTTTCCAAACTATGCCAGGCATGGTCAGCACACCCTCCATGGTAGGCAGCTTCATGAAGTGTCTGCTGTGCCTCACAACTGAATGGAAATTACTCACAATAATTAGTTTTCTTTTTTATTAAAAAAGCAATATTTTAGGCTACATGTACAAGGAGGTGGTGAGAAATAAAAAGTACATACAAGTAATGGTAAACAGGAGCCCCATACTCTAAAATGTACTTTGAGCCTGAATAAATATACAGTGTTCACTAGGATCAGTGAGTATTTTCTTGAATGCAGGGACATTGCCTCCATAGAAGAAAACCATAGACTCACACACACACACCTTTCAATTTTGATTTAATTCAATCCTGTCTGTCAACATGCATGAATTCTTTAGTTTGAATCTCAAAATTGGCATTATTGTATCTTCTGCATATCATGCAGCTGAAGATAACTGGGCCGCAGCAGGGACTCTGCACTCAAAAAGAGTTGTTGCCCCTGGGTGCTTGGAGCGTTTTTTGTCGCTCAGCGGGCTGCAGAAGCTAAATAAATCCTGCTTTACTTTTCTTCTCCGAAAGATAATCTCTGCCAAGCCACTGTATAAACTATTAGAAAGGTGTTTCATGGAATTGATCTTGCAGTTCCAGATCCTTTAATATGCATAATATCAACTACTATTGGATTCTACATTCTAGTTTGTTGGTATGAAGACAGAGCACTTTTAAGCCAACAGACATTTTATTTTATGACGTTGGTGCTCTGCTGAAGCACAAAATACCAGGTGGCTATGAAACCAGTGGCTGCCATGGAATGAAGCTGTGGGTATTACATTAGCGACATTATCTCTTCTATTGCTTTTACCGTCTAAATATTAGCCCTGCACCTTCTTCACACAGCTTTTGCCCTGGTTGAGCTTCTGGCCTCTCCTTCTTGCTTATGGACCAGCGTTTGCTTTCAGCCTCCTTCCTGTCCAGTGTGTCCTGTGCACTTTTCCTAAGTCACTGGCTTAAAACCCTTACTGACTATTAGCAGGATAAAGTCTAAGAATATTCGTGGCCGGCCAGACTCAAGTCTCACACTCAATCTGTTCTTCCTCTCTTCCTCCCTTCCTTCCTTTCTTCTCCCTTTCCTCTCTCCCTTCTTCCCTTTTTTCTTTCTTAACTTCCTTCATTTTTTCATTTACTAACTCATTCAAACACTCTTTATTGGGTTTCTGCTATGTATCTGGCATTATGTTAAGTATGGGGTACATTGGTGAGCAAATACAGACAGGTATTCTCTGCCTTCCCAGTCTAGTGAGACAGGTGTGCCTTGATCAGATAACCACCCACCTAAGTGTTCAGCTGCAACTGTAGCAAATTTTACAAAGGAGCACGTTGGGCAGGAGATGCACAATGGGGAGACTGACCTGGCCCTGCCCCAGTGATGGCGGAGCTGAAGTCCGCAGCATAGGTGTGGATTCACCGTCAAGAGGGGACCAAGGGGCTTCTGAGCGGAAGCCCTCCAGAGCACGTAGTAGGATGGCCGTAGCAGTAGTTCCCAGTCACTCATTATTTATTGAGGACCCACTATACTGTCCTGGGGCTGGATCAGTAGGAAAGAATGTAATTAGTGTCCCTGCTCTCCACTCTAAGGAGTGGGGAGGCACAGGGTCAGGGTCCCAGGAGGTGATGAAATGGCAGTGAAAGCGAACTGAGTAGAGCAGTGGGGTGGAGGCCTGGGGACGGCCTGAGCTGGCTTCAGAGCTGTGGGAGAGCAGAGTTGGCGCACGTCAGCACCTACTCCTCCCATCCAGTAGCCGCTCCCCCCCCGAGCCCCGCTTGGGGGTTATGCTCCAGCTCCAGCAGCCCTTCCTCAGTCCTTTGCTCACACTTCTCCCATGCACCCTAACAGTTAATCACTCCTTGCTCTGTGTCCTGAGCATGTCTTATACTTTGTTCCTGTTTATGTCTGCCCACACAGGCAAAGAGTTCTTTAAGAACACGAGTGTAATGAGCTCTTAATAAATATGTGTTCATTGTTTTTCCCATCTGGCTCCCTACCAGTCCAGAGCCCATTTATGACAGAACTGGCATCAGTTGTTTTTTTTTTCTTGTGTCTTTTTCCTCCACTTCCTTCTCTCCCTTCTCCCTCCTATGTGTGGAAGAGGCATGTTTAGATCTTTCAGAATCTTCAAAAGAAAAACATCTATAAGAGAACAATCCATGTTTTTGCCCATCTTGATTTTCCTTTTAATGCATATGCCAACCAGATCTGATCATTTCATTTGCTATTTTATTCAAGACCCTCTCCCAGGAATGGGAGAGAAAGAAAGCAATGAATGGATGGGAAAGCTTTCCCTGCCAAACATGTCACTGGGTTTAACCTTCACGAATATTCTATGGGTACATATTAGCCTCCCTAATTTTACAGACTAGGAGAGGATTAAGGAAAGATGAAGTGCCTTACCCAAGGAACCTAAATTGTAAGTGCTAGAAGTGAAAATTTGTCTGCCTCACCTTCGTTGTTATTAGGTTTATGAAGTTACATTATCATAATCTCTGCTTTGTTTCCACCATCAGATTCCAGATGATGTGATATCATTGTCAGTATAAATTTTGATATTGGAAATGATCCTACCCCACTTCCTCAGATTATTATAGAATATTGTTAACTGTGTGGGATTCCAAATTACCTCTTGTTATAACATGTTATATCAACATATAACATATACATTGTCTGTTTGGGAGAAATGCTTGAAGAATCATGAATCCACGAGCATGGAAAATATGTTCACAAAAGATGTCTTTACTGGGATGATCACTTTATTGGAAAGGTAGCTGCATCATTTATCACACCACAGCAGTTTGTCCCTGAGTTGTTTTCATGAATGCTTTGGTTAGAAACTACCACTGGTGGCTTGGGATTCATTCTGGTATGAAAAAGCTTGAAAATGAATATGGCATATGTCACCTCAGTCAAGCTGTGTTTCAGGAGGCACCAACTTCCAATGGCAGTAAGAGGAAACCTAGGTCAAGAAACCCTACTGATTTCTCACGAGCAGAAAAAGCTTTTGGATTGCAGGTGATTTCTCCCCAACTCACCTGCACTGTTCTTAGTATTAGGTTCCTTTATCGGCTGAAATAATCACCAATAATGCCAATTAAATTTCATCCATTTCAAAAGTAATATATTTTGGAACACCCGAAACACAGACGGTAAGCCATTGCCATTTCTGGCAACATAGTAGAATTATCGCAATTTATTTCAAAAAATTAATGACCCTTATGAAAGTACTGAGGAAAAAAACCATGGAGAACAGGCTCTACAATGTCTATAGGCAAACTTCAAATCCTGAAAGTGGAAATCAAAGCTTATAAAATAGCTTCTTTACTTATCTCTCCTTGCAAATCTGCCTCCTCACTCTCTCCTTCCTCAACCCAGGCATACTGAATGGTTTGTGTTTTCCAAAGATGATACGCTGGTTCTTGCCTCTTGAGTTAGCACCCACTCTACCCATTCCCTGGAATGCCCTATTCTCCTTACCCATTTAGAAAATTCCCAATAATCCTTCAACTGAGTGGTCACCTCTTAAGAGCCTTCCCCAGCCTCCCCCATACCTTGGGATAAGTGCTTTCCTACTCTGCTCCCGTAGGTGCTGGTGACTCCTGCCATCCTAGCATTCTGCATGGCTGCACTGCATGCTTCTAGGCCCTTCTGGCTCCGTCAGCAGTGTTCTCCTGGAAGGCAGATTGTGCATTGTGCCCATCTGTTGCTGTATTCTGGGACTAGCCCAGTATGCATGGGGCTTTAAAGATGCTTAATACTGAATGAACAAATGCCATATGAATGAAAGGTTATTGTATGAAATTATTTTACAGGACAGTCTGAACAGGGATTTCTTATCTCAGAACATGTCAACTATCATTCAGCAACAAAAACTGCCCTACTGCTTGCTTATCTGCATCTGAACTCAGCTGAGGATTACATGATAAAATAATATGTGCTGTTTTGCCTACACCTACCATTACTGACTTACTCCTCATCTAATTTTTTCTAACAAATATAATGTTGAGAGCTCCTTCCATTGTAATGAGGAGGTCCCACAGCAAAGGCTATTAGAAAAATGCACCCAAGTCACAAAATGGAAGAGTAATAATTTCCCTCTGGATACTAGCTCTGCCGATTAGGTACTTAGCTTAATTTTAGATCACAAAGACAACTTTATCATGTGGTACTCTTTTACTATTAAAATATATTTTGGCTCAGCTGCAAGTCAAGGTATATATATTAAGAGTTTGGTTGTAGGATTTGAATGTATCTTTTGTGTTTCTATAGTCAAAATAGAGCCAAGCATAGGCTTTGAAATAATACTTACCATTCATAAAGTACTGCTCAAGAGTCAGCTCTTTGCTCCTGTCTGTTTACTCTTAATCAAATATTTTGAAATCTTACTTATAAATTCCAAAATGAGATTCTGCCTTAGAACTATTTCAATCTTTATTATTTCATGGGCAATAATTTAATCAAGCTGTTTCAAATGAATTTAAATGCAGAAGCATTGGCTAATTTAAATTTTTGAATAAATAGGAACTTTGAAATTATAATTAACTCAAAACCTGTCTTAAAATTAACAAAAAAAAATGCCAAGTAAATTTGCTACATCCACAGTTTAGTTAATTGGACTTTTATGCAAATGCTCATGTGCAAAGAACAGGAATTTGCTCTAATTTGAATTCTTGTGTAGGGAAATTTCCCTAGTAGGCCATCCTTAACCTCCTTCCTGAGCTACTGCTCAGCATGACTGTTAAGAGCATCCAGTTTCCATTGAGTTGGTCTCACATTTAAATTCACTTTCAACCAATTATTGGCTGTGAAGACTTCAGACATTTATTTGCTTTATTTGTATAATAATTACTTCATTTATAAAAACCTAACTCTGATCATTTTTGAGAATTATATAATACATGTGGCTTGCTTAGCATAACCTAACACAGAAGAAGTTCTTGATAAATGATTGAAAGTTTAATATGTCTTATTTTTTTTCCCTTTTGCTCTGCTTTTTTTGACCATTAAAATAAAAGGATAGTACATTGCTCTTAAGGTTCTTCTGGACATGAATACTGAACTCCAGAAAACATTGGAACAATGAGCAAGCAAGAAACCTACCTATTTTTTTTATAAGTCTAACATATTGTGCATAATATTGTATCTGATTGATACACATGTGAGTGAATGAATGAATAAATGGCCTTTCTGGTAATTGGAAAATAAGCTCAGGAAATAAAAATAATTCATGTTATAGACTAATTGCTCAGAAAGGAAGAAATAGACAGCAAGCCTTCTAAAATTAATTTCACTCTTAAAAATCTGAAATATCCATGCAAAACTAGGAGATACTCAGGAAGTTACATAGAATTAATCAACATGTTTTTTTCATCTTTATAGTCCTTGTCTATGTAAGTTAGGATTTAAAATATGTGAACTGAGCATAACCAAAGTAGGATAAATAAATAGGTAGATAGATAGACAATAATACAGAGTAATATTTTATTTTACATTGGGAAGTTAACTCTTCCACACTGCAAATATATTTATGTGGATATAGAGCATGTATGCATGCTTTGTGATAACCAAAAATTGAGTCTTATCTCATTTTTTATTCTTGTTTCAATTGAATTATAAATAAAATAACCCATGTCAAAAAGATGACTTATGTTGTCCTAATACTTCTTGCCTAGGTAAATGTGTATGGATGGGTTTGTATTGCTAGAAATTTCTTCCCCTTTTATCTCTGTGCACAGACTTTGAGTCTCAGGTGCACACTGAAGTATATAGCTTTCATCCCCTAACAATCCAAAATTCAATCATACAAATGTCCTTTATTCTTAACAAAGTAATGTATTGGAAGAAAGATACTTACAATATTGCTTTATAAAAAAACATGATACATGATATTTATATCATGCATAACACATTAGTTGCAAAATATAAAAGGAATTGTTATTCAAAGAACATTGCCAGTTGTAGAATATACATAAATGAAATAAATTTTTGGTAAATAGATAATTTGTTGACTGGTCACTTGATAAATTGCAAAATTTGGTGTAGTGTTAACTTGCAAATTAACCCATAGTCCATTTGTGAAGATCTTTTAGAATAAAGCCTGTCATGTAATGCTTAAGCATTCCAGCTCTGGGGGCGAACTGTTGCAATTCCTATCCCAAGGCTGATACTGCCTAGTTCATCAAATGATTACCTCTCTGCCTCAATTTTTAGTGTAATGACCTGATCTGTGCAAAGTGCTTGACACAGTACCAGGAACACAGAAAGCATCACAGTAATGACTCTTTATTGTTAAGAATTTAGCAGCTGACCACTGGAGTCTACTCAGCTTGGTAATTCTCTTTGCAAGTTCAGAAGTAGCATCAATGACACAATTTGTGAGAGATCCTGGATATGCTTCAATCACTGAGCTTCAGTTATGATTTTTAAATCAATTTGTTTTATTATGCATTTGTTATAACTATAGGTTGTAAAGGTTTGCATTTAATTCAATTCATTTCCTTACTTTAATTTTGCTTTATTTTATGTCCTTCCCTTAACCTTTATCACCGGATGTTTTCTCATAACTTAGTGGTCTGCACTGCTCTCTCATTTAAATAAACTCATAATTAGATTAAATTAGAATAAAAAATAGCAGGTACCAGATGCCCTCTTACAAGCAATAGCTTTAAAATTTGATGTGGTTATTGTGACTCAATCAGTTTGCAAAAAGTGTACATTGATGATGTAGTTTAGCTATTTTCAAAATTTGTGGGAATATTTTGCGGTTCAGAAAGTGTGTTTCAATGCATTTGGTACATTTTCAAAACTGCCTTAGTCCACTCAGACTAGAAGCTTCACTAACAGAAGATAGCAGTATCAACAATATTTGCAAATATCAAAAGCCTTGATATATATTTAAACTTACATCAACATTCTAACATATTTGCCAACTTCTCTAAATTTCCAATGATTCTGGAGTTTTACTCATTACTATAATTTTATTATTCTTGAAAAACAAAATTAAACAAAGCAAAAGCAAAACCTCCTTTTCAGAAAGAAAAAAAAGATATATGATGTGACATCAGATGTAACCAATTCTAGAACTACACAACTACATGAGGTTATTTTGAAAGCCTTTAAAATATAAATGACAGAGAGATACAAAATGTAAAGAAAAGAACAGTAATAAGTTTCTTTATTGCTTTATTTTATGTCCTTCCCTTAACCTTTATCACCGGATGTTTTCTCATAACTTAGTGGTCTGCACTGCTCTCTCATTTAAATAAACTCATAATTAGATTAAATTAGAATAAAAAATAGCAGGTACCAGATGCCCTCTTACAAGCAATAGCTTTAAAATTTGATGTGGTTATTGTGACTCAATCAGTTTGCAAAAAGTGTACATTGATGATGTAGTTTAGCTATTTTCAAAATTTGTGGGAATATTTTGCGGTTCAGAAAGTGTGTTTCAATGCATTTGGTACATTTTCAAAACTGCCTTAGTCCACTCAGACTAGAAGCTTCACTAACAGAAGATAGCAGTATCAACAATATTTGCAAATATCAAAAGCCTTGATATATATTTAAACTTACATCAACATTCTAACATATTTGCCAACTTCTCTAAATTTCCAATGATTCTGGAGTTTTACTCATTACTATAATTTTATTATTCTTGAAAAATAAAATTAAACAAAGCAAAAGCAAAACCTCCTTTTCAGAAAGAAAAAAAAGATATATGATGTGACATCAGATGTAACCAATTCTAGAACTACACAACTACATGAGGTTATTTTGAAAGCCTTTAAAATATAAATGACAGAGAGATACAAAATGTAAAGAAAAGAACAGTAATAAGTTTCTTTCAACAAATAGTCAAAAACTTCTGATAAGGTTTCTAATAGTAACATGGATATTTTACACAGTGTTTGAAATTCATAAATTCTTTTATTTGACACAGCATAGGAAAAGCTAATGAAATGATTTCAAAATTTATTTTAATTTGACAAGAGCATATAATGATTATCATCACTGCCAGAGAGCAAAAATTTAATTAGTGTGCTGACTTATGAAATTAAGAATTCATAGATTTCTATGGTAAAGGAAAATGAATGACTAAACCATGTATTTGATCTGTTAATTGTGTTCTCAGAGTGAGTTCCATCCTTGGTCATGCAAGCTAATGTGTACGTCAGTTTTCCAGGCTTCAGTTTCCTTTTCAATAACTGGATGCTTTGAGCCCTGAGACCCTCTCCATTGATGCTTCTTGATCAAAGGCTACCTGAATTCAAGCTAATACTCTTGAGGAAGGGATTTCCTAATATATAATACATGAATGAAACCAATTATCAGTTAGGCTAGCACATTTAGACTTGATTGGATGATATGGTGGGAAGGTAGTTTCCATTATGGAAATCTGTTGTTCATTTGTTCATTCTTAATCCTGTTTGTCAATTTCTGTGATCTAACAAATACTTTCTATGAGCAGATTGTAGTGTATGATTATATTAGAGGCACACACTCCATTCTTGATACAGTAGCCTAGCAGAGGAAAGTTGTTAATTTTACTCCACACATCCATTTTCAAACACAATCTTCATTCAAGGATAGGGAAGTGCTGGGTTTTGAGTAGCATTCCATAAAATTTGACTGTTTAAAAGTTACCTAAGAATTAGATGAGAGAGGGATGATAGCTAACCCAAAGAAAATTTGCCTGATTGCATTCCCAGGAGAAGCAAATATTCAGAAAACAGAAGTCAAGTCAGAACATGGATTTAACTTGCGTCTCCAAGTCAGCAAAGCACTCTAAAAATAAATCTAGCTTTATTGGCCTCTACTGAAAGCAGTAGAAAATATTGGATTTTCAATTTCTGGAGATCTTAGGAGACCACATAAGGAACACGCTTCTGAGCATGCCCTGTTTCTTCCCAGAGGACAGACTTATTGACATTTTTATTACTGATTTATTTAGTACATGCCTTTCATCTACACATTTTTCTTCTCTTTTTCCCTCTCCCCACACTTTCTCTCTAGTATACAGTATGGACTGCCCTCTGGGTCACCTGGAATGTGTTCATTATCTGCTTTTATTTGGAAGTCGGTGGGCTCTCTAAGGTAAGTTTATCATGCTTTTAAAGTACACTTTAAAATACAGTAATTACACTAGTTGGTTGAAGAATTAATCATGTATATAACTGTTGAATCACTCTGTTGTATATTTGAAACCAATATAATATTGTATATCAACTATACTTCAGTAAAAAAAGAAAGTACACTAAGTAGTTACTATGACTACATATGATTATATATATATAAGTAATCTAAGTAACATTGTACATGGAATACTAATCAAAAATTAGTTTGGTTACCATTCAGTATAGAATGCTCTTAGGAGTGGGTTAATATAATGGAACTCCAAAACAGTGGCTTTATGTTTTAGTTTGTTAAACTCTACTGGAGCTCAGCTTCCAGCATATCCTCACACCCAGTTTAAAAAGCCTAATGTCACAGTGAGCACAGCCCCAAATGTTAAGTGAAAATAGTTCTGAACACTCTGGTATTTAAGTGGGAAAAGGGGTTAACTAAAATGTCAATATGACATATATGAATGGCAAGTTACTATCTTTGCTTGAATACTGGTTCTGGAAAAAAGGTTTGACAAAGAATGAAATCCTTATACGTGTAAGTGGAGCACACATTTGCTAATAACTAAGCACATCAGTGCGATGACTCCCATCTTAAATCCTAATCAGACAGAAGAGATTTTCTTAATGCGACATAATGCACGTGTTATTTCTATCAGTCTAGAAGCAAGATCAGCAGAGCACATGATTTTCACTGTGACGTCTGCAAAACTAAATGGATTGCCACCCAAATTAAGAGCACCTTGGGTTAAGTTTCTAGTTAATGTAGTTGGCATTTACTCTAGTTGACTGTAGCTAGAGTTTCTTAAACATTTTTCTGATAACCAGCACAGATTTCACTTGTAGAAATCATAGAGAAGGAACTTGGCTGTATAATTACAAAAAGAAAAATTACAAAAAGTTGTACTTATTTTTTTTAGATTTTTCATTATCAACTATGTTTGTGCTAACTTATTCTCTTCTTGTATGATAGTGTCAAATCTTCTAAGTAATGTAATAGTCCTCCACCAGCATTTGTGGTTTAGATCTTAGAAAATTTGCCTTGGCTAGCACAGAGACTTTTAGAATTGTTAGATTCCATTGAAGTCCATATGGTAACAAAGAATTTGTGATTCAGCTAAGCAGCAAAAATCTCTGAAGGATTTTCTCCAGAACCTCCAGAGATTGTTGCTCTTTGTTCTACACTATAATAACCTTATAATTAGAACTTGTCACCATTTTCTCACACTGGCAAGTGTATTCAGGAAAAAGAAATGACAATCTAATGCTGAGTTCCACACAAATGCGCTAACATCTACCTTTAATATTTGTGCTATTAATCATATTTCACCACCAATTTCTAAGACAGCAAAAAGTACTAAATCAGAGCCCAGTTATCTTCTGCAATATGTGGATTATAAAGTAATTTTAAAATGCAAATTTTACCAATAAAATAGTTGTGAATAATAAGTGTAGCATAGCATTTTTCAACCCATAGCATTTTGTGTCTTGTAACCTGAATGACCATTTTAAATCATAATTTTATTTCACTGGGTAGAAATTCTCTTTTCTTTTCTTCCATATAAACTTATTTGGAATAAATTAGACCAGAAGAAATTTGTTCTGTGGAATTGGCATTATAGTGTGTTGAAAGAAGACTGAATTTCAGTTCATAAGTCTTTCATTCAAATCTTGTCTTTAGCATTTATTAAACTGTGGGCCTTTAGGCTAGTTGTTTAACCATGCTGAGTCTCTGCGAAATACAAAAACAGGACCCGCTTTGCCAATAATGATAGTAATAAGTGGTTGTTGGGTGCTTAGCATTGTGTTAAGCACATCATATATGGTAACTCAGATAACTTCAAAACACCCCTGTGAAGTAATTTAAGAAAATATTCCATACGTGCCTGATTTCCCTTCACTGCTAATTTTGTGAACTGCTTATTGTAACTGCTTTTCTAATATCAATGTCCATGTAAAGGTTGTTGTTGTTTTTTTTCCTTCATGTCTTTGGGTGCAATGTTAAAAATATGGATATAATAGTCCTGGTCACTCATTCCATTACCCATTCAAATGCTGTGAGCAGCCAACCAAGGATTCTAGGTCATTAAAAGGATAGATGATACTAAAAGGAGCATCCTAAAGATTTTTTGTTGACCTCCTCAAAGTCTTGTACCATCTCCCTGGTTAGCCACAGCCTATCCTCTCTTCCAATATGTAGGAAATCTCTTCTGAAAAGTAGAGCAGAGTTAAGGACCCTTAGCAAACGAAAGCACCTCTACCACCCTTCCAGGTTGGACCCCATTTCATAAGGAAATCCTTGTCCATATGTACCAGTTTATATACTTTCTAGAGCTCTCCATCTCCTGCTAGTTCATGGAGGCATTTCTCAGAATTACTACTTAGATAAATTAACAGAAGCCTCCATATACCTTAATTTTTGCCCAAAATATCCATTCTAAAATCATGAATATTTTTCCCAAAAACTAGATTCAGGTTAATTTCCATGACATCTCTGTTTGTTGTTCCAGGGAATAACCTAACCAGCCTTATTAACTAACCATTATTAAGCCTAGCCATTTTCACTAACTAACAGCGTGGATTATGATGGGCATGAACCAACACATCCGGCCTGTTATGGGGATTCTCGATGCTGTCCTCCTGAGTTTTCCTTCACTTTGTTTCATCTGTCAAACAGCTGCACATCATGCATTTGTCACTGGAGGTTTCTGGAGTCTGGAGGGTCCTGATTCTCTCCAGATCTTCTTGACCTGGAGGAAAATGGTTGTATTGTTTTTAAGGAATGTGCACATGTATGGGGTAGTTGGGGATGACTGTGGGTAGGTGACCAGAAGTGTCTGCATTTACATAATCTCTTGTAGCCTCAATTTCCTTTCCTGCAAAAATGAGGAAAATATGGCACTGATTTTAGTGGATTGTTTAAGATGAAATGCATATTATATAAGATGATGCATATAAAGGATAGTCGTTCTCATAATTGCCATCAACATCATTATTTTTATTATTATTGAAGAAATAACAGACAATATGATTCTCACCCTGAAAACCTTTGGGATGTAAATTTATTACTATTCAAAAACTGTAAAAGGGAAAAGATGTGGGATTGAGTGACTTCTTTAAAAAATATGTAACAGTCCCTTGTGATAGGACCACAGACCGATTTATTAACTTCACAGTTGCAACCCTGTGGATTATATTCTCTCTTTGAACATGTAAATAGCTGTTTGAAATACTTCTGTAGGTTCTCCTGGTGTCCCTACTGCTCCCATCTTTGGAAGTCTCTAAGGCTGTTATTCATGCCATACTTTAAGGCCACCATGGGCACAGTTAATAAGTTATTGCTGCTTCTTTGGCAGTTGCTGCTCCATTTTTCCTCCCTAGGAATACATTCAGAATGTAAATATGAAAACCCACCTCATTTGCTACATTTAAAGATGCTGAACAATAAGTTATGTTGAGAACTCAAGTTATACTGTCTTTTTAATTCCAAAGGAATTAAGCAAATGTCTAATGGCATCTTTTGATTACTCCAAATTGTAGAAACTAGGCTAATATTTCTTCTAATTGACTTTTCTTGAAAGATGTGTGGAACTTACACATTAGAGACCTAGAGCATTTTCAGTGTGTCACATTTTCATAGAATTCAGAATGTGTAGGACTGCATGAGCATAATTTAGACATAAAAATGATGGTAAAGAAATTCTATGAAGATTTGTCTTTTATTAATCATGAAGTTTGATCAGGGACCTTCTAACAAATTATAGGCAGGGGGCGTGGGAGGGAGATGGAGTAACCCTTACTGATCCCCACCCTGTACAGGTGCTTTATATTGCCTTCACAAAAGCAAAACTCACCTTCAGTTTTTTCTTTATATCATGTTTTAACAACTGCACTGTTTCCACAGTGACCTGATTTGCGGTGATTTTGATTCTTAAAGAACTTTAAGCCATTTCCCCAAATGGCAATAATAATACTTTCTTGTCCTCTTTTGACTTAAATCGTCACCATTCATTCATGAGGGTCTTCTCTTGTGAGATTTTTCAGTTGAATATTTCACCTGAGCAGCCAGACAGGGTCAATGAGATAATTTCTCTTTTTCAAGGCTCATTCTTATCACCTAGACTGAACTGTTCTTGATATTTACTGGGAAAATTCTCTTCCTTGCTCAAGATTCATTTTCCTTCAAGGCTGGAATCTTCCACTAACTTTGGCTTTGAACAGGTACTTTTAAGTAGAAAACTTTTAGATAATTCAGAGTTCTGTATAGGAGCAATTGCTCAGTTCCCTGCAGCTATTTACAATCCATACATTTTTTTAGACCTGAATATTTTTGTGTCTGAAAGAAATCTTTTTATAATAGCAGTTTCAAACTAAATCAATGATGTATATTTCTTTTTATTTAAATAAATACAACTTACTGAGCCTCATAATGAGTATTAAACTTACATTTATCTTTTCCTTTTGAGAAGCTCTTCCTACCTGGACACTTTTCAAGTGGAATCTTGAAGTATGTTTACAGAGGGCTGAAGCTAGGGTACTAAATACCTTTATTCAAGAATAGTGTATCAGCAAATTATATACAAGTAGCATCCTAGAAACCCAGCAACACAATGCCTACATTTGGAACTACAAGAATGGCATAGTATTTACTATATCATGAAGTGAATGTTACAACTATATCAATAAGACACTTTGGAAAAATGAATAAACTTCACTAGAACAGCAAAATATTTCAGGTTCTGAACTAATATATTCCTATATACTTATCCTGATGCCCTTAAAGACTATTTTTGTCTGTAATATTGACTGAGGCTGTGGGAAGTCAGGGGAAGGGATATAGGTAGTAATGGACTTCTATGTAGTTATTAAGGATTTATAAAGGAAGAACTCTCAAAGGCTGCATCCAGGCATTAAATAGAAATGAGACCCAAAGACCCAAAGACTCCATTCTCCCCTTACTGCAGTTGACCA